CAGCTGCTCGGCTGCTTTCTCCAGCATCTCTCCTGGTTGACCTTTAGCCTTCTGCTGCAGCTGCTGCTCAGCCTGAAACACACCCAGAGCCTTCATCCTCATCTTCATCACCACCATCATCAACATCATCCTCATCTTCATCATCACCATCATCAACATCATCTTCATCATCACCACCACCATCATCACCCTCATCTTCATCACCACCATCATCAACATCATCTTCATCATCACCACCACCACCATCATCCTCATCTTCATCACCACCATCATCAACATCATCATCATCATCACCACCACCACCATCATCATCCTCCTCATCTTCATCATCATCACCACCACCATCATCTTCATCTTCATCACCACCATCATCAACATCATCTTCATCATCATCATCACCACCACCACAACCATCATCATCATCATCTTCATCATCACCACCATCATCATCCTCATCTTCATCACCACCACAACCATCATCATCCTCATCTTCATCACCACCACCACCATCATCATCCTCCTCATCTTCGTCACTACCACCACCACAACCATCATCACCCTCATCTTCATCACCACCATCATCAACATCATCTTCATCATCATCACCACCACTATCATCCTCATCTTCATCACCACCATCATCAACATCATCTTCATCATCACCACCACCACCACCATCATCATCCTCCTCATCTTCATCATCATCACCACCACCACCACAACCATCATCATCATCATCTTCATCATCACCACCATCATCATCCTCATCTTCATCACCACCACCACCATCATCATCCTCATCTTCATCACCACCACCATCATCATCCTCATCTTCATCACCACCACCACCATCATCATCCTCATCTTCATCACCACCACCATCATCATCCTCCTCTCACATGTATTTGTGTTTAACGTGATACTTTATTCATCAGAGGTATGTTTATAATTATTTTGTTAGTTTCATGTTTTTATGAATCAGAATTTAAACTAATTCACGATTCAAACCATATTTCATACATTTTAAAACAGATTTATTGAATCTTAGATTGATGCCTGTATTTTCACATTTGAATAACGGATGTCTTCCTCTTTACTGCTGGTTCAACTGGACGCTCAGCAGCCTGGAGCTTCAGGGTTTTGTATTCTTTTCACCTGAAGGTCTGCTCTCTTGTGTTTCCATTGTTCAACATTCTTTCGACAGTTTCAGGTTTTGATTTTGAAAGTGTTGAGGAAACAAACTTAGATTTTCACACATATTTTAGGATGAAGAGGAATTTTAAATTTTATCTGTATTTGAAGAGAAAAATTTGTATATTTATATTTTACATTTTAAAAGCGAAGTGGAGGAGGTCTGGTCATGTCAGCGTCTTTAAACACATTGAAACTATTTGAGTGCAGTGATGAGGTCTAAACACATCCTCTTCACAGGTGTGTTTGTTCATCTGCGCATTCAGTTCATCCTTTTGTTTTTCACCGTAAGAAACAGAAATAAAGAAAGTAGAAAAGTTTCACACGTTGTTGGCGAAGATCCTCAGATCCAGAGTGACGGCGAACATCACCGGCAGCGCCCTGAAACACAACCCAGCAGTTAGGCAACGTTCT